GCCTCTCCCCCACTTATGCTCTCTGTCTTTCTTTCTCTCTCAAAAGTTAAATTAAAAAATTAAAGTATTGGGAAAAAATAACAACCAGCCTCATTTTAGGACAAAATTATTTTCTTTTCCTTTAAAAAAATATATTCTCATTCCTCATACCTTTTTTACCAAAAACACACATCTTTCCTTACATACAGAGTTGTTTCCTTTATTTTTTTCAGTTGTCTTAATTATATTCTTAATTCTTAGAAGCCTTAATGTCTGCTGGAAACTGAGTGGTAAGCAACTGTGAACTGTTATACTAGAATCTTATTTGGCAAAGACTTAGATATCTGTTGAATCGAACCTAATTTATTATTTAACTTAGAAAAACTTCAAAGTTTGAAATAAAGATTTTGGAAGCTCTTTAAAAGCATACCAAGAGGGGCACCTGCCTGGCTTGGTCAGTAGAGTAAAGTGATTCTTGATCTTAGGGTTGTGAGTTCGAGCCCCACACTGGGTGTAGAAATTACTTTAAAAACTAAAATCTTTTTTTTTTTTTTTTAGTGTTTATTTTCGAGAGACAGAGCACGAGCTGGGGAGAGGCAGAGAGAGAAGGAGAGAATCCCAGGTAGTTTCCATTCTGTTAGTGCGGAGCCTGATGCAGGGCTTGAACTCACGAACTCTAAGAGCATGACCTGAGCTGAAATCAACACTTGGATGCTTAACCAATTGAGCCACCCAGGCATCCCTAGAATGCCTAATTTTTGTAAGCACTTGCCTTTTAACCAATTAAATGGGAGCTCTTTTACAAATTTTCTCAAACTACCAAGAGATCTGCAGTAAGGGTTAGTGTCGACACAAATTCAGCAAATCTTAGCCCACTGAAAATATCCTTCTCCAGAGAGTTGGCAAGTAAACTTTCAGTTGATCATTTAAATTTTTTTAAATGTTTTATTTATTTCTAGGAGAGAGAGAGAGAGAGCGAGCGAGCAGGGGAGGGTCAGAGAGAGAGGGAGTCACAGACTGAAACAGGCTCCAGGCTCTGAGCCGGCAGTCAGCACAGAGCCCAATGCGGGGCTCGAACCCACGAACCGCGAGATCATGACCTAAGCGAAAGTCAGATGCTTAACCGACTGAGCCACCCAGGCGCCCCTCAGTTGATCATTTAAAAGTGGATGAGGGAGGGGCGCCTGGGTGGCTTAGTCGGTTAAGCATCTGACTTTCGCTTAGGTCATGATCTCGCGGTTCGTGGGTTCGAGCCCCGC